ACATTATGAAATAGACAATAAAAAATCACCTGTATAAAATACAAAAAAAAAATGGTTTTCAAGTTTTATTTCACAACTTTATAGAAATACTAATTAATACATACAATTATGCCAAATTACAGATTTGTAACACTTACAGTCTCTGATTAAAGTCGCAGACAAAAAAGGAAGGTGAAGGTTTTTTTTAAATATCTAAACGTCTAACGCAGCGAGTTTTTTAATTACTGTTATAACCATAAAGCTTGTTCGGGTATCGCTTAAATGCAAGAGACGAAGGAAAAATAATTAATTCGTAAAAAAAAATAAACATCACCTTCAGTTTTTTCTTGGAAATTGACCCCGAAGGTGACCGTTACATTAATCGGTAGTCATCAATGTTATATAATGTTACGCAAATCAATGACGTCAACTTGTTGCTCAAAACTAATTTAAAACGAAACGGTTCGCATAAAAGCAGCAACATCTTTCTGATACCAGCTCAAAGTGTATAAGATAGAAATGAAACACATGTCGCCATTACACGAATGATCGCCCTACTTATATAATTACAACAATCTATCTCGTTTGCACACCATTTACACTACTTTATTTTTATGTTACTCTTTCGTACCCATATTGCTACCATACTTCCGTCACCTTTCACATTTAGCTACGTTCCGTTTTAACTTTTTTTCTATTATCTATTATCCTTTCAAAAGTAATAGGTATCTTAGGTAATTAAAAAAACATACAGAGTAATATAAAACTGCGGTTGACAATGCGTCCGGCAAACGTGGCAACCATAGATTTAGTATAAAATCTATGGTGGCAACTATGACAAATGTTTCCTCTATTAGGCAACGTATGGGCAAGGCCTTTACTCAGCATTGAACTTTTGTTAGGCTGCATTGAGAGTGTGAATTAACGCAATAAGTATTCAATACCTTCATGAAATTTTATATTTTACTCACTGTCAGTATAGTGAGATTGAGGTGTCGTGCTGAAATTTTTATTTGTTACTTCTGCGCTTTAACTATTCCAATAACGTTACGTTTATTCCGTTAAGTATATCTTCTGTACCCTCAGTGTGAGTATTTAACTGTTATTACAGAGTTTGTGTTTGGTGATAATCTGTATGAAAAGCGCCTCTAGTGGATCGTTTTCGAATAGCTGTATTAGTGAAATTTTATCTACAAAGTTATCCGGTATTGATAATGGGGATAAAACTAATAATATATTTTTATTTATTATTTTATTTAAAACGTTACTTCTTAAACGATTTTTTCCTGGATCGTGGAAGCAGCTTACACAGATACATTTTACAGCGACAAACATACAGACCAGAAACAATTATTTGTAAGTCATACAAATACTGGTATACAATCATAGTGTAGTGGCAGTGTAACAATACCCACTACCCCATATCATCCCGTGGGTGTAGTAAGAGGCGACAGAGGAAAACAAAGAAGGATATGAGCAGCAGCGTCTTCCCGATAGCGACTAAAAATAAAAAACTGCGGTTGCCATCCCGCTTAACCAGCGTGGCAACTATGGCAAATATCGCCACTATGAGACAATCTATGGGGAGGTCTATATTTAGCAGTTGACTTTAATGAACTAGGGAACTACATCCGACCGATGAGAACAGTGTTTCATCTGAGGCCGAACCTGTGCCTTGTATTTTTTAATGTATAAAGAGCACACAGTCACCTAGTGTTTGCTGCAGCCATAGGCATCTTCACCTCGATTGCAAACAAAGCAGAGCGTTGTCACCCGTAAGGACCTAAGATGGAATGCCTCGTTTCCAGTAAAAAGTATCTCCAAATCTCTACACTCACCACACGAAACACAGCAGCATTAAGCTACTATTTTACGCTGGTATTCTATGAGAGCGTAGTCCTTCCCCGGTCGAGATGACCCATTCATGCTACAACTATACCAGTAACTCAGTATCTCTACCACGTATAAAATATTGTAAAGTTGCAGGCGGTGTGCCGGCATGAAATACATAGAAATACTTGTTTCTCTTTTCGCCTTCGACGAATCTGAGAAGACCAAATGCCTCTAGGACAATCTACAGAGCTAGTACACTCCATTCAGTAAACGCACAGATTTTACGTTAGAAGCAGAAGTTAAAATTAGTTTGCTTTACCACTAGACGAATCCTTAGATCTATCAAACAACAGAAGTCATTTAAAATCCCAAAAAGAGATTAGCCCCCAAGACTGATAGTATCAACAATAGGGTTATGAAATAATTACTTTGCCTTATATTTTGTATTTTCAATATATTCCCTAACCCCTTGTTCCTGAACGCTTAGAAAAAAGCTAGTGTAATAGGGATTCCAAAACTAGGGAAATTTCAATGTTTAACACCCGGTTGTAGACCCAAGTAGTCTATCAGTTAACTGAGCAAAATATATGAGCGGATAATTCTCAACTGCCTCTGCAATTACAGTTTCGCTGAAGAGCCACTAACCGATAAGCAATTTGGCTTAAGAGGTGTAGGTACAGTCACACACTAACTAAGTACAGCACCTTACAGAATACGTTCGGAAAGACTAGAGTCACCACTGTAATATAAAGTCTCTAAATACTGAAACTGAAGGTCGACTAACGAGCGCAAAGTCTACCTGATGGTAAGTGGTTGCTGTAGCCCATAGACGTCTATATCTGTCCTCGATTATACGAAACACAGCAGCGTTAAGCTGCTAATTTACGCTGGTATTCTGTGAGAGCGTGGTCCTTCGCCGGTCGAGCCGACCCATTTGTGTTACAACTATACTACTAATATAGCTGCTCTACCACGTAAAAAACCGCTCTCGGCGTAGACGCCTATTAAGGAAGGATTTTGGAAAGTTCAAGCCCTGAGGGGTTAAAATAGTATGTTACGGCTTGTATACATATGTATAGTTTAGTAAAAAGGCACGTATGGCAATTCACAATGCTGTGTTGGTCCCTACTTTAACGTATGGAAGTGAAAGTTGGGTGTGGCAGAAGAAGCACGAGATTAGAATCAACGCAGTAGAAATGCGGTCGTTAAAGAGTATGTTAGGACTGAATCTGAACGACAGGGTAAGAAATTGTGTAATAAGAGACGAGTGTGGTTTGCAAGATGATGTTGTGACCAGGATTAAGAAAAGAATGCTTCGGTGGTTTGGTCATGTGGAAATAATGAATGAGAAAAGAGTGACAAAGAAAATTTATGTTGCAGAAGTGAATGGCAGAGTCGGAAAGGGACGTCCTAGACGAAAATTTATCGACCAAATTGGCGATTTATTGAAAACGGGCCAAATTAAGAGTACCTTTAACCAATGAGCATGTATGCGTAGGTGTATGGATATGAAGGAGGCGAGAGAGGTGTGTCAGGATCGTGCCAAATGGAAGTCTGTAGTCTCTGCCTACCCCTCTGGGTGACAGGCCTGAGTGTTTATGTTTTATGTAATGTTTGTATAGTTTATTTATTAGTAAATTGTATATATTACGTATTACATACTTAATTATCATTGTGATTCTGTTTTCCATTCTGTTTTTCTTCACCTACGTCAAATACTCACAACTCCATGGGTTGACTGGTAGAGTATGCGTCAAGGCATTAAGTTTGCCCTTTGTATTCTTTTGTTATAAGGAATGCAATAAAGAATAAATAAATCAAACAAAGCCAACCACGATTCCCACTGGAATTACATAAATACACGGATCACTGTAATTCAAAAATATGTCGTGCTTTTCATACACGCCAAACGCTCCGCTTTGCCGAACGCTTTATAGCATTACACTTAAATCGGCTTAGCCGTTCGCCCTTCAACTTTGTAAACAAAAACACGCAACGAAATTCTAATGACAGTTGAAAGTGACTCATTCCATTGATGCATCGGTCACACGTGTTTCGCGCAAGTTCAAGGCTACTACGCAATACAAACATATAGTACACGCGATTGACACGCTTTGAATTGCAATAATCAAAATGTAGAAATCGTAAACACCCAGATTGATCATCAAGGATATGTTGAAGGAGGTATATATACGAGTTTATTAAAGCAGTCAATATGTTTGGATTTGTACAATGATTTTTTTTTATTTTTTGAAAGAAATTTATAATAAGTACCTACTCATACGAGATATTTCACCATTGTTCAAAAAATCCTGCAAAAGACATATGATGTGTATAAAACATTGTACTTCATCTAAAGATTACCCGTAACTTTGCCGGCATATTACTTTAAGCAAAAAAAAAACCTGCAGGTCTATAACTATTCTCTGGTTTGCTGGGATAATGTTTGGCCAACTTTCGATTAATAATTATAGAGACATTAAACTTCTTGATCAAGCGCGCGTGTTCAATTCAATCCTCACAATATTACAAAAATTCGTTTTCCCGATCGAATGTTATTCGGGACAGTAGCTGATATAAACAGTAAAACTGGTTTTAACCCTAGATTCATAAACTACATTTAGGGTTACATTGTTCATAATCATATGTCTCTGATACACCTTACTTTTAAAGTCACCTAATTTAATGATTACGGTAGATATTGAATAAAACTATGAATATTAGTTATAATGAACTTTTATTGAGGATTATAACGTAAAAAACAATTATAAAAAAATCAATCCTAGCATTCTAGGTACAAATTACCGCGATGTTCCAAACACATAATATTACGTTTGCAACTGGTGCAGATAAATCTGGTCACACGTTTTTTTTATTACAGCAGAAGTTACATAATTTCCTGGTTTGATTTTCGCGGATAGCTGGGACATCAGGAAAAGTATCGCCTAAAATGAAATCGATGTTCTGTTTTAGCCATCGCCTCAAAGTTGGTGTTTCGCGGCGTTGCCGTAACCAGGGTTCTATCATTTTATCTGACACTTCTTTGATAAAGTGCCATAGTTGCGAAGGGATCTCGCGCTTGTTAGATCTAATTGAACCTACAATTGTTAATTTGTATGGATTCTGCAATAGTTCTTTTGCTAAAGACACTGACGTGAACCAATTAGGTATTCATGGTCTCATTACGATTACTGCCTTGAATAGTTTCGGAAAGTTGCTTCACAAAGAAAGATACTAAGGGTTCTACATTTGTGTTTGTAAGGTACATCTTTCATCTGTTTCGTAGGTCGGGCATTATCCGATGAGTCATTAGAATTTATTCGACGTCGGCGACTAATATTTGATGCTCGAAGAGGTTCGTCATCAGAATCGCTTGAAGGATCTGTAGGTTCCTCACTATCTGTCTCTAAAATATCCTCAACTTCGCTGTCCAAATCATTTGGAGGAACCACTTCTTCCTCGTCTCCCACTTTGGATAGTATTGCATAAATGTCATCTTCATTCAAAGAAGCCATGCTGGAAAATAATACCATGCATATGCATACCAGTAAATAATAACAGTAATTAAAGAATTAATACCTAGTAAAATATTTTACTTATCAAATTTTAACCACGATAATGGATAGTAATTAATTACATAGAATATAATAGAATTAACACATACCTTTTTTTTGAAAAATTCTTTGAAGTTCTTTCGTTTTATAAGACCAACAATAAAAGCATCTACTTTATAAATTTGTTACACTAATCATAAACATACGTATCTCAAACACCTCGGGCTTAGTATATCCAAAACTAATCATGTACGCGCCAAAACTACTGGCGCCGAAGTGAGCTCTCGTCGTTTTAGGAAGGTACTGAGACGTTTGTATTTCCACCTTTTTCGCGCCACGCGCTGTAAGAGTTTTATTACTTGAGGGTGTATGAGAGACGTGTGTTTATGAATCTAGGGTTAATGCGCATTGCTTATAATTAAAACTGTTATAAACAATAATTATGAACTGTTTGGCTTACTCAGCTAAATTACAAATTAACGGTTTTTGCGAATGCACTTTGTTTAAGATTATTTAATTTAAATAAAAATTTAAATCTATGAATTTTACATGAAAATGTCGTATCACTATATCCTTTAAAATTCATAGTTATGTAGTTAAATACCTTTAAAAAAACACAAAAGCTTTGTAACAATTATTTTATCTCTTAAATTTTATAAAATATAATCATCGATAAAGAAATTTATCAGATTATTCGTTACACAAAAACATGTGTGTAGTTCTAACGCGGCAGAAGTGAAACCTTCTGAAACTAAACTTCGAGAGTAGGATAGTTGGTAGGTATTATTTATAGTTATATTGTTACCAAGTTTAAAAACTATTATACATTTTACTAAACCTAAATTATTACATTATATATTACACAGACTCAAATTTTTTTACTGTATTTATTTATTGTTTATTTGTTTATTCTATCCATGGAATACTATAATAAACAATAGAATGGCTGTCAACTTTATTTTGTACGGGGTTTGTGTCACAAAACCCAATTCGCTGTGTTGACAGACTGAATAAATTTACACATTTTAGACTTTTGATTAATGTTCAAGATCATCATTAAAAAATCGTTTAAATTTTAATACATATTTATTTGTAAAAGGGTGCAATTTGGCATTTCTTAAATAATTTGCATGCGAAATTTGGAAACGATTGTAACGTCAAAACACATCACGTGTTGACATTTATACGTGTGAATTGACGTGTTAGTGATATTTAGTGGCTACGCGGGCTCCGCCCACTCCCCCGTTCTATTATGTATGTATTGTACGAGCTTAGGGTTAGTGACAATAAAAACTGCCGATTGAATTACCAAAATTAACACTTTAATTACCGAACACCAATTAGAACTTAAAAAAAAACTAAAAATTAATCACACTGATTCACTTTATTTCGCTCCGAAGCTTCGCTTGTCTCGCCAAATTCAATATTGCCCCGATCGCGGCTTGCAGCAGCTTTAAATACACCTTTTACACCGAAACATCCAGAATGTTCCAGCAAATACTGTTACCGACCAACTAAATGCAGAGAGTTCGAGAGTGGACCCTTCTAGAAAGCTCAATTCTTCTTTTCGATACTAGATGGCGCTGTTGGTGGAAAGTTCAAGATTGGCACTATCTAGGAAGCCCTCCTCGCTCTGTTCCCCGATACTAGATGGCGCTAGTGCCAGGTACCAGTCATCAACTTAGGCGCGCAACACTGCCCCCTCCTAAGACATGCTCGTCCCGAGCATTATCGGCCCCATAATAACGCGCCAGTCGATCCACATGGACGATCTTAGGAGTACCTCTTGCACCTTTTCGAAACGGCTCCGTAACGTCAAGGGCTGTCCTCTCCCATGGTGCACCAACATTGTACAATTTCAATGCTCCTCTACTATGAGTCTGAGGTCCCTTTGCAGCCGCACAACTTATACATTTGCGACACCAATCCTCGACATCGTCACGGTAATGGACCCAGTAAAACCGGTCTCGGAACTTCAGTAAAGTTCGTTTAATTCCCAGATGGACTCCTGAACAACCATTATAGAACAGCTGTAGAACATTCGGCACTTTAGCTTTAGGCACAACCATTTGCAAACGACAGCTGTCTCCTCGACTATTTTCCCATTTACGGCACAGGACTTCATCCTGAATCAGCAAACTATCCCATTGGGCCCAATAGCTTTTAGTGGTCGGACTCATCGCTGAGACGTCGCTCCACTTGGGCTTGGTATCACGGGCCTTCATCCATTCCAGAATCGGCTTGATGTCCAAATCTTCCTGCTGTGCATGTTGTAAGCTGTCCTTCCCTCGTTGCTGAGGTAGTCTGTCTTGAGCATCCCCACGGATACCACTTCCTTACTCCTTGCCTAATACAGTGCTTGCAATCTTCAGGACAAGGTCTCCTTGACAATGCATCTGCGTTGCCATGCGATATCCCGCTGCGATGTTCAATCACAAAGTCGTATTCCTGCTGCTTGGTGGTGCTGTTAGCCGCACAACCCTCTCGAGATCGATCACCTTCCCTTTTTACAGATCGCTTAGGGCAGCTGGATCGAAGATGGCCCCTTTTCCCACAGCCGTAGCACCTTGGGCTGTAATTTATATTGTGCTCGCGAACCGTAACTGCTGCAACCTCCCTAATATGAGGGGAACGATGGTCCTGCCGCCGCCAGGCGGTGCCGTTAGCTGCACCACCTTCTCGAGATCGATTAAATTCCCTTTCTACAGTTCGCTTAGGGTAGCTGGATGGAAGATGGCCCCTTTTCCCACAGTCATAGCACTTAGGGCTGTATCCATTATTGCGGTCGCGAACTATAGCTGCTGCAACCTCCCTGTCACGATGGAAACGAAGATCCTGCTGCACGGTTTCAACCTCAAGTGCATGGACCAAGGCTTCCTTAAGTGTCACGTAGTGCCCGAGCCTCACAGCAGCTCTGACTTCAAGGTCGCGGATGCCGTCGATGAATGTCTGCACCAGGTTCCCTTCAATAAGCGCAGTTATAGACCGGTATGCTTTTCGCATCAGCTTCTCCACCTCTAGAGCCCACTGCTACAGGTTTTCGTTGCTGCACTGCACGCGACCTTTAAGCTGCGCACGAAAGACGTGTTCCAGGTGAACGTCGCCATATCTCGCCTCAAATTACTCAAGGAGCTGCTCATAAGTCCCTTCCTCACCGAGAGTTTCCAGAACAGTTAAGGCCTTGTCGTGCAGGCCTAGTGTGAGAGCAGTCATAGCTTCGAACTGGATTTTGTAGGCCGACCAGTAAGAAGTCCCGTCGAACGGTGGCACTTTGAATCCACGTAGCGAAGGTGTAGTAGCTACTACGGGAGCTGTAGTTCCATCCCCAAGTTTGAGTTCGTCGAGTGATTTCTTCATGTCAGTCGTCAACCCGATGATTACGTTGTCAACCCGATGATTCACTTGGTCGATTCGGGTTTCAGCTTCCGACAGGCGGTTGTCGTGTTAAGCAACCCTATCCTTCACCTCCCTTATCTCTTTCCCGAAGCTAGCGACAATGTCCTTCACGCGGAGCATCTGCTCTTCCTGTCGGCGGGCCTGTTCCTCCTGCTGCTCTTTTAACCAACGGGCCTATTCCTCCTGTCGGCGAGCCTGTTCCTCCTGCTGCTCTTTCAACCAACGGGCCTGCTCCTCCTGTCGGTGAGCCTGCTCCTGCAGCATTACCATCAGAGCACCTAGGTTAGGTGCTGCAGACGGGCCTGCAGTCTACGACTGGCCCTCCTATGTCTGCGGCGATGCACCACCAAATCTTCTTTGGTCCGTATCCTGCTGGCGTTGACTTCGAATACGGATATCCTCCTGTGTGTAGTCCTTAGGTAAAATCGGCATGATTTTATCCCACTTCTGACACCAATTGTTACGCAACACCACCAATTCTTGTGCAATTGTGGTGGCAAAAATTGTTAGGTGCGCAACAGTATTATTCTATGATTCTATCTTATTCTCCCACAGGCTTAATCCTATAGCTATATGTTTGTCTCTTTCTAGTGTCACTTTTTCGTTCCATCCAATTTCAAATCACAATGGTGCTATAGAAGTTTTCACTTCAAGTTTTCACTTCAAGTTTTCACTTCAAAAGTTTTCACTTCAAAAATCTTACATATTTTTCGGATAAAATATAACTTGGATCACTCCTGGCACTGCCCCCTATTTGTTCGTGAGGTTTCGTCACAATCTGTCCAGTTACTCTGAATATTGACGGACCGAAACGATGGACAGACAGAAAGACAGACAAAAAATTAAGTATTATATAAGTATTATCAGCATGCAAATAGCCCCCAAAGCTCGATTAAAGACTGTTGTTTCGTAATTACCGAGAGACAATCAAATTTTATTCATATAGATAAAAATTTGAACTCGGCAACCAGTAACCAATTTTAAGAAAATAAATGTTGATCTTGGACTATTTATATGGAAGAAAAGAATCAAAAAAACACCATACAAAGAGACCACATCGTGGATCCATTTTATACATGGTAGAGCCACGCCGCCACGTGGTAGCTCAGAGAGCCGTGGTAGCTCAATTGGTTAGTGCTCGCTGTAAATTTCTCAAAACGCGAGCAAACCGGGTTCCATCTCCACCAGCACCAATGAAATTGTAAATTGTAATTTTATCTACCACTCTCGGCGGTGAAGGAAAACATCGTGAGGAAACCTGCATGTCTGAGAAATAAGAAAAAATATTTCGAAGACAATTCCTTGCCCTAAAATCCTCACAGAAATGAGCGGAAGGTCTGTGCCCAGGAGTTGGACGTACATAGGCTGTAACTTTAAAGCCACGCTGCAGCTATACTATGATTGTATCACGAATGGGTCGACTCGACCGAGGTTAAACTACGCTCTCACAGAATACCAGCATAAAATAACAGTTTAATACTGTAACAATCTCTGTCCAATGAAATCCAAAAACTTATTTAGACGCTTAAATAAAGAAATAGGGAACAACGCACATTTTAAGTGCAGATTTACTACGTGACCTA